AATGTGTGATGGACATATTTGTCCCCACGTTCAGAAGTCCTCATTATGACTATTAAATAAATCCAGTTCTGAAGGTGCTGGTTACTTGGCTGTGGAGACAGCTCTCTGTGAGGTGTGTCTTGAGGATCTTTAGAGGTCACCAGTATTAGTAGCTCTACAGCTACTAAGACACACCAAGAATGAATAGCTTCAGAAAGATGTAAATCCAAATGATCTTGAAAGACAAAAGGATATATAAAAATGCTGTTACTGCCTATTGAGATCACACATATTTTTGAATTATGTGTTACAATATTTTATCAGAAAAAAGCTACACTGTACATTGCACATTCTTTTGAACTTTACTATACCAATACAAATCAACATTTGAATGCTCTGATCTACCAAAGAAGCTATTGGGAAACACACTGGTTAGTTCCAGTTAACTAATGTATTAGGCAGTTATTGAACATGCACAGAATATTTTTAGAGGATTATAAATGCCAATATTTCAAAGCAGCTTAATAATGTGTGTAGTATCAGATAATGAGAAATTCCCTCAATGTTGCTAAGCTGGACTTTGTTAACTATAGCAACTGATCTTACAGCTGGCATATTTAACTGGAATAATGGTTGTAAATCCTCTTTGTTAGCCTGGAACTCTGGATCCACTAGACATCAATGTCTGACCATCTCTGGCATGGGCTTGGAAAGAACTCTTGCTTCCTCTCACCCATGAGTACAATCGACCACACTACATAACTCCAGAGTCAAATCCAGAAGAGGAAGACTCTGGCCATGTCCCCTCACCTGGCCCTGGACCAAGGAGTCCCACTTCAGAGGAGACAGCTCCTCACAGGACACCTGCAACGACGGTGTTTCAATACAGCTGAAAATGACAAATGGTGTGAATCTTCCTGGGAGCTGTACAACACACACTCACCTGCCCCTCAGCAAGCCCTTGACCTCTGCCTCCACCAACAGCCTGCACAGAGATGAGCTAACAGGGAAATATTTAGGAAGCATTTTGTGGGAGCTGTTAACCACTTCCATGAAATTCTTTCAGGAGCAGATCTATCAGGTTGGTACACTGAATAGATTCTGGGTTTAGGGAAAACGTTTCTTCAGCTTTTGTATATCCATACAGACTGTGTTTCACATCAAGCTCAGCTTGGTGGGAAGAACTTGAAATGTGCCTCTCTCCAAAAGATTTCCAAATGGAAGCGCAATAACATGTTAATTAGAAAATTCTTTACATAGCAAAAGGCTCCCAGTGAACAATTACTTTGTATTTCACATAAGCCTTTTCTAACACAATCTTTATATGGGGAAAAGAAAATATGGAAGAAAGAACAACAGCACAGAAAGTATCATATAAAATGTTGTATTTGAGTATTTCCCAAGTAGTGATTAAACATTCTGTGGAAACATGCCTCAGACTTTTACCACAAACCAGAATAAAACTAAAAGAACCTGACAGATGATATAGTCACTCTTCCACAGTATAAAATTTGCAAGATCTCAGAAAATTTTTAAATGACATAGTATTACAGTACCATCAACTCATGTAAAAGATCAGCGTTGTATCAAGTCAAATATCAAATTCAGGCACTTTTTAATACATTCTCAATATAGATCTTTTCTTCTACCCAGGGAAGCCCACACCCAACATTTGGTGCTGAAGATGTTGTTCAGCAACAGCCTAGATGACTGGGCTGACTGAGGGTGTATCAAGGGAAAGCTCACTAATATAAACAGCTATTGAGTGCATCAAGCAGCTTTGAGTCTGTCATTAGCACAGCCAGGCTCAGCACTCCAAGGCCAGCCCTGCAGCCCTACAGCATCACCAGCCCTGTGCCCACAGTGCCAGATGGAGAAAAGCACTTTGTGCCAATCCATCAAGGCCTGTCCCAACCTGCCCAGGGCGTGGGGAGTGCAGACAGCTCCTCACAGCTCCTGGAGAAGGGCACAGCACATCCTGCTGCTAAACCAAGGTCTGTCTTTAGTGCAGCAATGGAGTCAGACTTACAGGGATGAAAGAAGTTAACTCTTCCCTGAACTGGTGACTGGAGTAGCCAATGGTCTCCACAGCAGCACGTGGACAAAAGAAACTCAGGGGTTACAATTCATGTGTACATATATTCCTCTACAGAATTGTGTAGGCAAGAATCAAATACAATACATACAATTCTTTCAAAAGTTACTGTGCACAGAATACAGCATATAGAACGGAGAGATATGAAATATTTACAGGTGTAACAATAAAGGCTTGACCTTTTTCTGAGAAGAACCGTTGAGCTGCTGACGGGGCCGTTCAGGTTGTTTCCTAGGATAAGGCACCCGAGTTCTGACTGCAGGAAATCACATTATTTTGATTTTTTTTTTCAAATGGATATCTGACCAAGTTCTACAGAGACAACCCTTTTACATAATCCTTAACAGACCTTCCAAGAGCTCTGTACTTTGCTTCATAAAGGGCTTGCTTTTAGCTCTACATTAGGTCAGTTAAGTATTCCACTCCCTAGCCTCACACAAAGCTGCACAAGTCAAGCTAAGACAGTGTCTTCAACTAGACCTATTAAAAAGTAGGAATCAAAACCTGATCTCTGCTGAGGCTCATGTGAGCAAAGCAAGTTAACTGCAGCAGCTAAGGACTGCCCCACGTTAGCACAACTCACCTCTTTAATCAGGCATTTTGGAGAATGATTATCATCATTTCAGAGTGGCAGACAATGCTGAGCAGAGTAACTGTAGTTAATTGTTGTGGTCTCTGTAGTCTTAATTCTAGTCTAACAGTCTCCCCAGCTGTTTCACTTCAGCTGAAAAAAAGCCTGCAGACAACCTGAAATGCACTAATAATGATAATAATAACAAGAGTCACAATAAGAATAGAATGAAACTTCAGAAATCATCTAGTCTACCCTCCTAACTCCCATATTTTTTAAAAACTCAAAGCTGTTACTCAAACTGATACGGGAGGGGCTTTTTTTAGTGGCATAAGGATAATTACCACATTAATTTTTCACCTCTCAACAGGTGAAGCATGTTACGCAGGGGGATTAATTCAATAGTTACTTCCCTTTGAAGCTGACAAAGTCAGAAAACTTTTTAATAGTGCTTTTCCTCCTTCCCTCTTCCTTTGTGTAAGGCACTGCAGTCTGCTTGTTTTACAAAATCAGACTGGTTAAGTGTCATTTACTTTAGTTTTGCTAAAAAAATCCTTTGAGAGTCTCAGCCTGTAACATTGTAAGGTCCACTTCGAAGTGAATCATCAGTGATTAGCAACCTTTAAAAATGAGAATCTTCTGAAGCCAGCCAAAACCAGAAAACCAAGCCTTCCCTCCCCAAAACACTTGAAACAAATTGCCAATTACAGCAATTATAATGATTTTTCATATATTAAGCTTTCTGTCTCTTGGTTATCAGTTAATTAGTTCTCTAGAACTGAAGAGGTTTCTGCTCTAAATAAAATGTCTGGCAAAAGGAATATGAGGAAGAGCTTGGACATTATGGGCGACTCCAGAACATCTGGAACCTGCAGGAATTCTCAGCAGGGGTCCCAAGGCACTGGGTTGGTGTTACTCTGTGAAATGGCAGCTAGATATCCCTCATGCAGATCAGCCCATTCAAACGCATACAAAGATTGTGCCTGGCAAGGTAAGGTCCCCTCACACTTCAGGTCTAGAGGAGTAGTGGCCAGTAGGACAAGGGCAGAAACAGTCCACCTGCATACAGGCACTGGTGAGGCCACACCTCCAACACTGTGTTTTGGACCCCTCAAGAGGAAAGGCCTCAAATTGTGCCAGGGAGGTTTAGGTTGGATATTAAGAAAAATTTCTTCCCTGAAAGGGTTGTCAAGGTCTGGCCCAGGCTGCCCAGGGCAGTGGTGGAGTCCCCATCCCTGGAGGGACTGAAAAACTGTGTAGACGTGGGGCTGAGGGATGTGGCTCAGTGGGGACCTGGCAGTGCTGGGTTAATGGTTGGTCTTGATGATCTTGAAGGTCGTCCAAGCAGAACAATTCTATGGTTTTGTGATCTTTCAGGAAATTTAGTCCAGGTAGATTTGAACATAAAGAAAATTAACTTTATCCTAGCCCAAACCAGCTATTTCAAATGCCCTTTCTCTCTCTCTCTCTGAAAAGGAGAAAAACTTCACTTGGGAACCACTAACTTCCATGAGTGAGTTTTCTGTGCTGCAAATTAACAGTCCCTCCCTCACTCCCAGAAAGGCTCTGAGGACTAAAGTTTGTAAAATGCACTGAACATGGAAAGGCCACTGTGAGGTACCATCACAGCATTCCTATTAGCTACCTTATCTCTCTGTCTGCAGAACTACTAGAGCTTTTTTAACCCCATTTCACAAAGATTTCAACTCAACCTTTTATGAAAGGAGAACTATAAATAGCCTCTTAGATTAAAACCCTTAACAGCTGAGAAGGCTGGAAAGGGAGGTAGGTATTATCCACCTTTCAATACTACAAATTGGGGCTGGAAGGGCTTAATTACCAAGATATACTTAAGAACACACTAAGGGCTGCTAGAAAAATTACTCCAATTACAGCAGCTCCACCTGGGAGAGAGGAAACCATCCCTTCTCTCTCTCTCCACATACCTCTCCTGTACCCCATGCTAATACAGGGCATCACAAACAGCAGCTTCACCCCATCTGACAGTTCTGCTGCCCATGGAGAGTCCTTTCTCCCAGGTGGCTTAACAGGGCCTGTCACACCATAAGAGCCAAGGATCTGACTTCTTTTGTTTTCACTCCGAAATCTCAAAGTGGAGATACATTTGGGTTTGCACAACCTAAGGCAACAAAATAATTCCAGCCAATGTATTAGCTTAGAAACATCTCAGGCAGGCAGAGATCTTTTAACCCATGATCTGGATTTGAACGTGGAATTCCTGACTTCACGTGAACTACACTCACTCTCCTGAAATGGGGGATCCAGGGGCTTTTCCTTATGATTTGATCTGTGATGATGTATTCTCATTTATGACACCAATGATGATCTTTACAGTTACAAATAAATATGGCATTCACAATGAGTGTTCAGGGAAACTATTTCTGATGACAGTCAAGAAGTCCTTATGGTTTCAGTACTCCTGTGCTAAGCTTTTTGCAATGGTGCTCAACTGGATATTTGAAGTTCCTTCATATATTGTACCTGAAATCAGAAGACAATAAATTAGAAGACTATAAAACCACAGTTAATATATGAAGAAAGACCAAGATATCACTCCAACACTCCAGTTAGAACATTTACAATTATGAAGGGAAACTTAACTGAGCAAGTTGCAGAAACAGCATTATTACTTACATAAATGTTAATAACTTATTACCTGCAACAATTAAAATACTCTTCTCCTGGTACAACATAATGACAAACATTTCCCTGAAAAGCAATTCTTAAATAACCAACAAAAATTAAGTATTTACGAATGCTACCAGCAATTAAAGTCAAAGGGTAATATTGTTAGAAATGTCAAGCTGTTAGGTCTGGGGATAATACTGGTGAACAAAGAAGTCTTGAAAACAAAACTCCACATAGATTCAGACCTTAAAGCCAAAGAAAGTGTTTTCTTCTCTCTTTTTTTGAACTGGAATTTTCTCAATAACATGGGACACGATGGTTGTGTCTGCATTTTACTAGTTCTAATTAAATATTTTAACTAGCCTCACACACACAGGTATTTGTACCTAAAGTTTTACCTTCTTATATCTGAGTCTTTGAATCAGTGTTGATTACAGTCTCAGAGAACAAATATCTTTAAAAATTAGCCGAGCATTCACCCCCAAACTTTAATACTCCTAGTGCTACAAGAAGTAGTTGTTAAGAATCTACCACTCACCTATCTTGCAGTCCCGATAGTACTTTTCTATTGGGTAATTTTTTGTGAATCCAACACCACCCATCCATTCAATACATTTACTAGTTGTCAGGGTTGCAACCTATAAAAACAGTTTCAGTTACAATTTCAAGATTCAACTTCATGCAGGCAGCAGTAAATTCTATCCTTTGTAGCTATTATATGTAAAAACAGAACAGTAATTAAAGCAGTTACCAAAATGAGTAGGCAGAGGAAAGACTGATATTTTTGTATTCATCTTCTTTATGCAAGTTATTTTGGAATACAAATGACATTTTTCTAAATCAGACATCAAGAATTCATTAACCATTACTGCAATAGTTCATCTGCTGGACTACAAACAAGACTAGCAGTCACAGAGGGGCAGACGCCACCCAGTTTTGAACCATATTAAGACCTACAGATTTCACAGCAAAGCATGAATTAAATGCTACATATTCAGTAATAGAAGAAACTTTTAAGCAGCAGTGAAGTAAAACCACTGAATAAAGCATCAGCAAGGTACCTCAGCAGTGTAGTACTTGGCCATGCTGGCCTCCTTGATGAATGGCCTTCCAGCCTCTGCCAGGCGGGCTGCGTTGTAGGTCAGCAGCCGCGCCGCCTCCAGCTGCGTGGCCACCTGGGCTATCTGATGCTGCATCCCCTGGAGCAAGCACACCACACCTCAGACAGAACCAGCACCTAGTGCTCAACTGGAGGGTCTAACAAGAACCATTCTTTTCACCCAGGAATATTCTTTTCACTCCAGTCTAAAGTAAAAATACAAAAGCTAGACAGATCAGCAATTCTGCACATCTCTGCCCCTATGACATTGACACTGGGAAACCTCTGGGCCACCAAAGTCCTTTCAGGAACTGCACTTCCATTTCTTCCTTCCCTCTTCTTGGATTCAGGAGCACTGGGGAACTTCTTGCCCGACTAGCTGAGCAGGAGGGTTCAAAATGAACCTGTGTGCACCCACGAATATCAAGGAAAATTTCAGCTAAATATTAACAATCTCCTCAGCACAGCAGAGACATAGGTTAAAGCTGTGAGCTTAACTGAGAAGAACTTTTTAAAAGTACCTCTTCAAGCAGAGAAATAGCAAAGGGGAAACTACTTCTTCCCATGTCCCATAACCGTGAGACAGGAGTTAGGAGCAATATGAAAGTCTAGAGAATGTGCCTGATGAATGGAGTCAAAGGGAGGGAAAAAGGTGCTGGAGCTCACCTCAAAATGGTAGGTATTACAGAAGAATGGGTTTAGTTAAGGAGACCCAAACATTGTGATGATTGAAAATGAGCATTTAGTTGTCTAACTTGCTCCTAAACCACAATGAAATCTTTCATCTTAGTAGAACATTAACCCTGCTCCCTAAAATATCCCCAAAAATATACGCAGGTCAAAACATCAAAATGGTTTGGCAATTATAAATTCCATTTCCCATTCAAAAGATGCAATTCCAATAATTTCCTAGGTATCTGTGGGTGCTTCCTAAAATTTGTATAAATTATGAGTAGTATTCATGTTCCCTCCCTTCATCCAAGACATAGGTTTCTTTTAACAAGAAAATTACTACAGTAATTACAATTATATATATCTTCTTTATTAAACTATATATCGTTTTTGCAACAAAGAGTCTTTTTCGGTTTAAGATACAGATATCAGCATGAAAATGAAATGTCTTTGTATAACACAGGAAATCTAATAATTCAGTGTCCCTCATCTATTTATTATTTCTAGTGTCTCCAGAAAAAGGCCTTCCCCTACTCCTCATGAAAGGGTATGAAAGTTGGAGCACATTCAACATACTGTGATATTAAAATCAGAAGAGAAAGGGGTCCCATGTGTCTTATTTTCAAAGGTGGTGAATATACTACCAAGGAAAAGGAGTTTTGTTAATGATGTTTTGAAGTTTTAAATGATTTATAAGGTCCTTGCAAAGGCACAGAGCACTGAATTTAGGTATTTTACAGGGTAGATGAATGCTTTTCTGAAATTCTTTGATGAATTCTTCTCAAGTACTGAGAAGTATTGAGGGACATGACACAAGGTGGAGCACAAATTATGCAGATCAGATTACTCACTTCACTGACTTTAACTACTGTGGTAACTCCCACTCTCTTGGAGGGAACTTCCCTTCTGCTCATGAACAAGTACCTGGAAATCAAACACGCTTTTCCCAAACTGGACTCTCTCCTTTTCGTGCGGTCAAAACACCCCTGTGCCAGTCCTAACATCTGTAGGAATAAGACATATTGAGGTGAGTTAGGACAAAAAAAAGCCCCAAACTCTGAGGAATAAGCCTATTCCATTCCTGAAAGAAACATTCTTAATAAAAGCAAAGCATTTGTAAAAACACCATAGCTAATTTCTGAACAAAACTTACGGGTCAACTGTGGTTGCACAAATATCAAGTGTTTCTGGGAAAATTCTGAATTACAGGGAAAATGACTGCAAACTAAAGGTCTACAAATCTACATTACACTACTAAATAAAAAATAATTTGAATGATTATCCAAAGCTATTTTCATAATCAAAATAGTTTCTGACACTAGACTGTCAGAATTAGCAATTTATTTCAGAAGTTAGAAATCTGGAGAGTACACTAGTTACACTAGTTTTATGGACTTTTAAGTACCAAAGTGAGAAGTTGAGAAGTGTATTCCATTCCAAACCAGACAAAACTTATTCTAAGTCTTCTTGTCTTCCTGAAGAAACTCATACAGAGGAACCAAGTGTATCAACTTCAGCACCTGTAACAACATATGCAGCTACCTTGTGCTGAAATGATGTGAAACTGTTCTCATTGTATTTTAAAACTATTGCTACTGCAAAATGAAATTCAGTACTACAGGGCTTTAGAATTGCTCCTTGTCCCTTTAAGTACACTTCTCCCCATTTGAAGGTGGGAAGAAAGTAGTAACTAAGACACAACTACCTGACCTTAACTTTGAATCAGGTTATAAGTGTAACTCGTAGCAATTAAGAGTAAAATCCAGACCATGTATTTCACTGATGGAGCCTCCCTATTACTTATGGGAACAACAGGGTCCACAGCACTACTTTTTAAATGCTGTATCAGACAAATTTAATCACAGACCATCTTCAGAAATTATGGAAAAGCCAACCCATTTAGCAGCACAGTGTACTGGCATGTGGAAAGACTAAATTTCATGAGGACAGTTATATCTGGTCTCTCTGCAAACCAGGGCACAAGATAAGGGAGACTGGTAGTACAGACATATTACACCCTACACAGCACAACTATAGCCACAAGAAAATAGTAAAGAAAAGAAAAGATGACTTTCAGAAGTAAATTAAAAATACAAAAACTTTGCTCAGTCATTGTGTTATAGGGCTGAACCTGATTTCCACTGAAATCAGCACCAATCTGGCATCCAAACTGGGTTTACAACAAAACATAGTATTTTGAAGTAACCGCAAGGTCAGCAAATACTTTCCCCTAAGGTGTCATATGGTGCAATTTTCAAACACAAAAAAAGAGCTAGGACAATTCTATTAAAAAAAAAAATCTTATTTAATTTAAAAATAAATTGACTTTAAAAAATAAGCTGTCTAAAAAATAAGGTCACACTTGGCAATCCCACACAGAGTCAGAAACATTAATATACATTTCAGCATATTGTATTTGCCAGAGATAGTTGTCTTTGTAAAATAAATTTGCATAATGGAAAATAAAAATGTTGATACAGTAGCAATAAGTTAAACACCAAAGACAAACTAATAGCCATTTAATGCTTTCTAAATCTATTGCTTATGTCACTGAAGGAGAATTTTACCATTTACAGTTGTTTCAGTATTTTACTGTCACTTAGACACAGGCATAGTGACATCTAGTGGCAATTCAGTTTTTAATAAGTATTTTCTAAGCAGTTTATTTTTACAAGCTTTAGTTTGTAAATTCAAATCCAAATTTAGAGTTGTATACTGGATGTATTTGGTATTAAATAAAATCACCTACCTGTGCAGCAATACCTATTCTGCCT